CTAAGAGCATGCTCCCCAGGAACCTAAACCGTGAGAGTGCTTAGCAACTCAGAGTGCAACAGACAGTTCTTGGCCCCATGAATTTGGCCACAAGACTGGAGATAGTTGGAAAAGCTATGGAGTGTTGGAGTTCTTTTTACTCTCAATGCAGGAATCTCTTGAACTCCACAGATTAATGTCAGATAAATATTTTTCTACTACTAAGACTATTAAAATACAAACCAATGATGAGAAGTAAGCAGAAACAATAAGCAATTGAAGTGTATGGAGACAATAAATTTTTACCCATTCAAAGATAGGAAAATTTGTAGGACTATATTTAAAGGGAATTGAAATGTGAACAAGAAAACAGAGACTGCCAGAAACCATCAAGGTAACATTAAAAAACAAGATTAAATACAGAAATGATTAAGATTATCACTGTACACAAAATGGAAATGAAGAAAAGATGAAATGCTTCTAAGGGATTATTAGTGATGTCAAGGACAGAGCTGAAGAAGTTACGGAGACTCCAGCACCAAAAATTAAATATGTAACCTTAGGGAGAGCTTAAGGGATGAGGAGTCAAAAACCTGTGGTTTCCAGCATAGTAGAATATACACTTTTTAATTGGAATTTCCCATTTTTCTTACATATAATAATTGAAGTTTCAAAAAGGGAAAGTAGAGAGAATAAGTAATCGTGATGAGTTGTTAGAATTCAAATGAATATGAAGTAAGATGAATGTTTATATTATAATGAGATTATGGAACATAAATAACAAAGAGATGATTCTAAAAGCAGTCAAGAGGAAAAGATAAATCTCTCCTTGTGGAATAGGCTGAAATAAACAATGGAATTCAAGAAAGAGGATCAAAAATAACCATTTAGTCAGAATTATAATCCCCATTTATTAAATACTGAGATGGAGGAAAATATATTTACTGGTGGAAAAAGAAAAAAAAAAAAAAAACCTATGAGTTTGCCAACAAGGTATCTTTTCTGAACTATAGTCAACAAAGGTGGGAGTGGTCCTGGAAGAGAGGGACGAGATACAGATTGCGAAGGGATCCATGCAATGGGACAATCCCTTCGGGCTCCTGTGACTGGGGGAGTGGGGGAGGCTGGGAATGAATGGGGATGGCACTGGGGACCCTGACTTGCAGGAAAGACAATAAGCTCACCCCTTGGTGCCTTGTGTTGGGGGTGCTGTTGGCACATCCTAGAGAGCATGCCCAGCAGACAGAGGCGCGGCTGTGGGATGAGAAGATCAACTCAGAGATGCAGAGTGAGGCCTCTGGGTCCAGACAGCTCGGGAGCACAAAGTGAAGACACAAAAGATGCATTGATGTTGTTTAAAAGGAGCTAATAAATATCTAAAGCACTCATTCAAATGTGTTCTAATATAAATCCTGTGTTCTTGAGATTCTAGGGATTGAGAGAGGAAGTGATGTCACTACGGGAACTGTTCTGTGTTGGCACGAGGAACGAGGACGTCCCTCCTCCTCTGCTTCTGCTTGTGACCCTGATCGGGTAACGTTCCCACCCTGCCCTGACCCTCTGACTCTGCCATGGGCACCAGGCTCCTCTGCTGGGCAGCCCTGTGTCTCCTGCAGACAGGTGAGTCTTCAGAACAACAAGCAGTTTCTGTGTGTGTGTGTGTGTGTGTGTGTGTGTGTGTGTGTGTGTGCTTGTAGGGGTGGGATGTATTTGTTTCTGTTGTGACTAAAATTATTTTCCTCATTCTGTTCCCAACTTCTGTCTCCACAGATCACACAGGTGCTGGAGTCTCCCAGTCCCCCAGTCACAAGGTCACAGAGAAGGGAAAAGATGTAGCTCTCAGTTGTGATCCAATTTCAGGTCATACGGTCCTTTACTGGTACCGACAGAGCCCGGGGCAGGGCCCAGAGTTTCTAATTTACTTCCAAGGCAAGAATATAGCAGACGACTCGGGGCTGTCCAGTGATCGGTTCTCTGCAGAGAGGCCTATGGGATCTGTCTCCACTCTGCAGATCCAGCGCACAGAGCAGGCGGACTCCGCGGTGTATCTCTGTGCCAGCAGCTTAGCCACAGCGTGACACAATTGCCTCCTTCCTGCTCACAAACCTCCTGCTCTCTCTCCTTGCTTCCTTCTGACAGTATTTTTCACCAGGGCATCCTCATCCTCATCTCACACCACTCCTCTGCTCTTCCAGAATCATTGGTTCCATTTCTGCTGCTCAGATCAGCAGATGTGCGTTGTACACATTAATCATTTTCTGTGGAAGGTCCTTTGTTGGTCTTAATTATCCATCCTTATTTTCCACATTGGATACTGCTCCCTTCATGTTTACTTGTTGCCTACAAGGGATCCTACTGTTTACATTCAAATTTTACTTTTCATTAATATGTATTTGACGCTGTCTTGAAGGCAATCTCATTATCACTCCAATTTTTGCTAATCTTTATTTTTATGGTAACATTAATTATTATTTGGGGGGACATGTATTTCATCTTTGGTAATGGAAATGAAATAACTATGCCCTTAAATTTCTGTATGTTCTTCCTACTTCAGGAAATATCCAATTTTCTTCCATTCATCCCATTCTATCCTGCTCCCTTTACATGATAGTTTTAAGGAAGAAAATACCAATCAGACTTTAACTGCAGCTTATGTGATAAGAGTTATTTAGAATTAGGGTGGGATGTTAGGCTGGATAACTCAAAGTAATAGGGTTAGAACTAGTGTTGGGAAGAGGGTTTGAGGAAGTTGCTCATAAAACCTGCAGGAATAGTCTCCCAGCTCACGCTGCAGACACTTCCCAGCATCCCTTGGGCCATTGCAGAAGCAATGATGAAACTTCACTTGTTGGCCACAGGATGGTACTGTGGTCCACTGGGATCTAAGCTGGCGCTGGAGAGGGTCTGGGAGAGCAGCCTAGGAGGGAAAGGGTTAAGAAAAATTAGGGCTTGGATCCAATATTATGCAGATGTTGTAGCAGTTTTCAGTGATTGCTGGAGTACCTACAGCTATGCAGGATGCAGGAGATACCGCTAATCTTTCATGTGATCCACAGTTGAAGAAGTTTGGCCAGGCAGCCTTGGCGTCAGGAGCAGGTGCAGACAGAGGAGCAGCTGTCTCAAAGGAACATGGGAAAGTGAGGCGCGGGCTGTGCCCTCAGCCCAGTGAGTGTCTGCTGCACCCCGTCTTCCCTGCAGGCCTCGCTAGGCAACAGCCTTCACAAGAGGAGGCCCATCCTGCCTGAGCCCAGTCAGAAGGACCTGGAGCAGGTGTACTCTGTAGGGGATGGGGGGTGACATCACAGCCCCACCAGACTGTTCCCTAGAGAGCAGCCTCTGAGCCCCAGGTGAACAGTTCTGACCATCACAGCACTTAGCTTAGAGAACCCCTCCTCACTGTGACCCTGCCATGAACCCCAAACTCTTCTGTGTGACCCTTTGTCTCTTGGGAGCAGATGAGTTCTGAAAACAGCTGCAAAACCCTGTAATGGGTTTACAGCATCTGGGGTCCAAGACTGTTTTCCTATTTCCTCCACAGAGTCCCCTACTTCTCAAGTCTTGTCTTCCTTATGATAGTATTTTGCACCAGGGCATCCTCATCCTCATCTCACATGACTCCTCTGCTCTTCCAGAATCTTCAGTTAATGGATCCCAATGTAAGAAGTCTTGCACCGGGACATGGGCTTCTCCCTGTGGGTACTAAAGTGGATGACAGGTTAAAGGAAAATAAAATGTGTGTTCCATATTGTTTTATAATATTTTACAAGAAAAACAACATTTCTGTCGCCAGCAGGCTTTGTGTGAGTACCCAGACACCAAGACACCACATTATGCAGACAAGAAAAGAGATGATCCTGGAATGTGTTCAGGTTAGGAACCATTATTCAATGTTCTGATATTGACAAGACCCAAGTCAGGGGCTGAAGCTGATCCATTATTCAGGTGGTGGTGGCAGCAGGACCAATGTTGATGTCGCCGAAGGGTATGGTGTCTCTTTAAACAAGCTTGAGCATTTCCCCCAACTCTGGCATCCACGAGCACTAGCCAGCCCTCTCTGTACCACTGTGGCAGCCCATCCGCAGCCCTCCGCAGCCAGCTGTCTGCACAAAAAGGGTAGCCACAGGCTGGAGGTGGGCAGTCCTTACGGAAGCCCCTGTCTCAACCAGAAGAAAAGGTTGCCCTTTGGAAGCTCTTCCCAGGCTTCCCAGTAGTGGGATCTCATTCTATGTGGGGTCCTGCAGCATAAAACCTGGAGTGAGCTGAGGTCTATCACTGCAGTGTGGATGTGTAAATACAAACAACATAATGGTATTTTGCTCAATTTGAAATACTCTGGTAATCGTGCAAAGGAATGGTAGCTTCCAACATTAAATTCATATTTCACTTTCTTTTCAAGGGAGAAGAAAAAAGCGGAAAGCAGCTGGAAAACTTGCGCCTGCTTGAGTGATCTGGGATTCTCACTAGCACACATAACATCACTTTGGTTTTGGTTCCTTGGAATACCAAACATGTGTTCTCTGGAGGACAGGAAAATCTGATTTTTTTTTTGTTGTTATAAACTTATAAAACACACAAGTGAACAATCCACTTAGGAAGAGTGTTAATAGATGGAACAAACTCTGCCATTAGACCTGAAGATAATTGACTAGTAGAATTATCAAAAAGATTATAAGTCTCTTACGAAGTACCTGTTTTAGTTCCTCTGAGGAGAGATCAAGGAAGAAACTTAATTCTTACCATCACTGTGGCTTGGATTAAAATCCATGAAATCCTTAACTTGTTTTTCTTGTAAAATATTATAAAATAACACAGAAAACACATTTTATTTTCCTTTAGCCTGTCATCCTCTTTAACACCTACAGGGAGAAGCCCACGTCCCAGTGCAAGACTTCTTACATTGGGATCCATTAACTGAAGGACTGGGAGGTCCATGCTGGGCTCCATGGGAAGTTGCAAGCCCCATGTGCAGAGAACCCCATGTTTCTCTTCTGTGCCCAGTATTGCCCTGTGAGGCTGCCAAGGGGGGGTGCTGAGTCACCCAGAACTCCACTCATAAAAAGGGGAGCAGGCTGCTTGCTTTGCACACACACACACAAAAATAAATTCACCAATTGGCCAATCTGCTGAAAGCCGAAATGAAAGGCTAGTGGCTGAGATTGATGAATGCCCAATTTCTCAAATTACTAAATTTATAACAGCTCATGGTTCTTGATTTGACTTCAACAGCAAGTGAGTATTTTTTTCTTTCTCTATAGCTTTCTTTCAGCCAACTATTCTCAGTTATGTCTTAGCCTTTTATCAGTCCAGCTCATTTTCATACTAAATTTGTTGCATATCTCAGCAAAAAGCATGTCTCACCTTCTCCATATTTTACGTGGTCATGAGTGTGTTCCTGTCTTATTCTTATGTGATGCATTTCTAAATTGGACTGTACAGAACACAAGCATCTATTTGTATATGATTCCCATCTTATTGTATTTATTTATTTTTTTTGAGACGAGGTTTCTCTCTCATTACCCATGCTGGAGTGCAATGGTGCGATCTCGGCTCACCGCAACCTCCGCCTCCTGGGTTCAGGCCATTCTCCTGCCTCAGCCTCCCGAGTAGCTGGGATTACAGGCACGTGCCACCATGCTCAGCTCATTGTTTTGTATTTTTAGTAGAGACGGGGTTTCACCATGTTGACCAGGATGGTCTCGATCTCTCGACCTCATGATCCACCCGCCTTGGCCTCCCAAAGTGATGGAATTACAGGCTTGAGCCACCGCGCCCGGCCGATGACTCCCATGTTTTATGGGGCTAGGTCAGAGTAGGTGAGCGTGCACCATGATTCTCTGCTGGAATCTCTTTGGATTCTGTGTCCCCTGTCACACAATTTACTTTCATGTGCGTATTTCTCATGGGTCTCCTGACTTTTCGCGATGCTCATTGCAGGATATTGGTTAGAAATTTTATTACATCTAGTGACAGATTGTTCTCTTAAGGCAAAATAAAATATCCCAGACTCACTTTTCCATCGTTATGTCTATTAGTCGTGGTCCTGGAGATATCAAGGAGGGGCAAAAGGAGTATTTGCAAAGGTGTGGCAGGGTTAAGGGAACCCAATAAGAGAAGCTGAAGTAGCCAAGGAGTAGCAGAATCTGTTGTTCTTACTCACATTGGCCTGAAATAAGTAGGAGAGGTTGTGGCTCCCAAAGCATCTGGTACTGTAGCTTTGGGCCAAGGCTGCCTATAAGGTGCTATGCCCTTTGGTAGCGAAGGTAACCAATATAAAATAATGCAGTGAGAAAAGAGCCAGGGCATAGACAAATCAGGACAGGTGGTGACCCTACCTCCCTCTGCTCTCCTGCCATTGTCTCCCATTAGCCAAACTCACTCTGGAGTTAGAGAAGAAGTGAGCCCCAGTGACACAGAACACTGGGGTCAGCCTCTGAAGGCAGGATAGATCTGGAGACATTAACAGAAATTACCCAGAGCACTACACATAAGATGGCCTTGAGAGTGCTGAATCCCAGACTGGCCGGCTAGGTCTGTTCTGTGAGCTGATAAAGCCCTAGTATTATTTCTGTGGAATCTGTACTCTTAATAATTTACAGGCAACCCAAGTGCACTTTGGATCTGATCAGATGGAGTAAATCTTGGGGACTCTGCACCACTGGTCACTCAGGGTTGGTAATGTTTTCTAAGGACAAAAAAAAAAAAAAAAAAAAAAATAGAATTAGAACCGGAAAATTTGGTTGAATCTAGCATCGGATCGGAGAGATGACCTTAGGACAGCCAGGAAGAGTTGGACGGGGTTTAGTCACAGGCTCCTCACCCTCTGCTGATGGGCAGGTGTGTGAGCTCCAGCAAGGAGCACTGCAGCACTAGGTGGGAGGAGGCTGAGAGTGTTGAGGGGGCAGCCTGGGAGCTGGGGCAGTGTAGACAGAGGAGCAACTGTCTCGTCACAGATGCTTCTGTCCTTACCCAGCCCTTCTGCTCTGCAGAACAGGGAGGAAGTTCGGGTTGTGGGGAGCACCGGACCTCCGGAAGCCTGTAGGGGGAGGACAGAGGACAGTGACATCACAGGATTCCCCTCCCAACAGGAAAATCAAGGCCCAGAACTCACTTGGCTCTTCCCCAGGAGGACCAAGCCCTGAATCAAGTGTAGTGCTGCCTGCCTCATTGTGCCATGAACCCCAGGCTCTTATCCTGGGCACTGCTTTGTCTCCTGGGAGCAGGTGAGTCCTTGCAGACAGGACAGCACCCCCATTCTGAGCTTGCCCCCTACCCCTGTGTCCCCCACTTTACCTTGGGGAGGAGGTGCCACCAGGCTGTCTTCCTGTGCTCATCCTCCATCTGCTTTTCCCACAGGCCCAGTGCAGGCTGAAGTCACCCAAAGTCCCACACACCTGATCCAAACAAGAGGACAGCAAGTGACTCTGAGATGCTCTCCTATCTCTGGGCACACCAGTGTGTCTTGGTACCAACAGGCCTCAGGTCAGGGGCCTCAGTTTATCTTTGAATATGTTGATGAGTTAAAGAGATCAGAAGGAAACTTCCCTGGTCGATTCTCAGGGTACCAATTCTCTGACTATCACTCTGAGATGAACATAAGCACCTTGGAGCTGGAGGACTCAGCCCTGTATCTCTGTGCCAGCAGCTTGGCACAGCCCTGCAGAGTCACTGCCACTCTGTGCACTAACCTCTCTGCTTCAGTATATGGCAATCTCAGATCAGACAGCTGTGAGAACCTGGGGCCTTTAGGGGGAAAGAAAAATAATTTCAGGACTCTGAACAAGGCTGGGGAAAGCAAGGCCAGGAGGATCTGCTCAGAGGACGCTGCTGCTTCGGGAGGTTCATGGCAAATTACCTTCTTTGCCGGATGCTGTACAGTCATAGAGTAGCTGACACTCTTCTTTTTAGGAAAAGAAATTCATTTTCATATCAAGATTGTTGGACTGACGTGTAATATAGAAGGTAACATCTCAAGGGCTTGCTTTATATAATTAAAAGAGAAGAAATTGAAATTTGGGGAAATTTGAGGAGAGAGAACATGATTAAAGATTATTTAAAAACAGAGGTAGAGCTACCAGATGATTAAAAAAAATTGTGTTTGCTGCAACATAACCTATCAAAGTTTTCAATAGCTAGAAAATGTGCTGCAAGGCCTGGTAGCAACTGGCATCATCCCGGGGCCAGCCTAGGATGGTCATCACTGCAGAGTCAGTTGCCCTGTGGCCTGGAGCTGGTCCTAAGGTCTTCCTTCTGGACTTCGGCCTCAATTTTCAAAACAGAGGAAGTCATTTTGCTGCTGCTGCTAAGCAGATAAAGGCTCCCATTTTCCCAAAGATAAATTCCACTTCCATGGTATCTCTCTCTGACACTCACCGCCCAGATCCCATTACCTTCTGCGACCAAACGCCTCTTTGATTATTTCCTAAAACTCTGCAGCCTTCACATTGTCTGCATTTGTGCTCAGTATTTCCATGGCCTGGAAGGACCTTCTTTCTCCCAAGAAACAGCTAGACCTGCTTCATCTGTCAAGTATGGGCTCACACCTGCTTTCCTCTTCACTTCTTACCATGACATTCCCCAGCACTGTACTAGATCACCATCTTTATTATTTTCATAGGAAAAACCAAGTACTAATTAAGTATATCATAAATATTCTCGGATGTTGTGAAATACATGTCAATTCCTGCTTACATGGAGTCCTGGAATATTATTGCTATTATTAATATGAGGGATATTGTTAACCACTAACCATTTCTTGGTTAGAGATCAAAGTCACTTCCGTGTGGCGATAGCAAATGCAAGAATCAACTGAATCTGCCTGAATTATAGCTGGCAGTGTTATTCATTTCAAATTTTTACAATTTAGAAGTAAATTTGTAAAATCTAGAAACCCTCATAAAATACGCTATCTAAAATTTAGTAATAATGAATCTAAATACAAAATATGAAAAAATATAGGTGTAATTAACCTGGAGGAGCTGTGGAATGCAGGGTTTCCAGGCTGCGTCTGCTTGATGTCATCACACTGTCTAACCGTATGGCCTTTATAATTCTGGCTGCTCTCTACCATCTTAGCATATTATTTGCAATTACATAACAATTGTTTATTTTGTAATCAAAATGTTGGTTCATGTGTCCTTTGCCTCCATTGACCAAGGGTGGATTTGAAACTCAACCCTAAACTGACGTTTCTGGGACAGCATGGAGAGGGTGTGTAAGAGGGTGGGGGTTGCAGGAGTAGGGGCATCTGTGTTCCTGATTTGGACAATTTGAACAACTCAGGTCAGAAGGTATGAATCCATGAGACTGTAGACCGTTGGCCACGTGGAGGCGCTGCGGCTCCGCAGTGCTGCGGAGAACTCAGAGGAGGGGTGGGAGAGTGCCAGGAGGGGAGGGCTGAAGGGGAGGCTGGGCTGCCTGCTGGCATCAGCGGGGTGGAGGGAGTCTCCTGAGTGGGGCCGGGACATGTGAGATCAGCACAAACTCTCATTGCCTTGGAAGGGTAGGGGCGCCAGAGTCCTCAGTTTGCACTAAGTAGGGAGTGTCTCTGCCTCTGCAGGGTGAAGGGACTGGGGTGGCAAGGGCTGGGAGTCAGTGTCAGGGCAGGGACAAGGTGGGCAGAGGGAAGTAAGGTGTGATGGGGGCATGAGGGGACTGTGTTCGATCCTCCTCACCTTGAGTTTCAGGGCTGTGCAGGACAGGAATTACAGTACATGGAGTAGCAGAACCTGACACCTGACAGAATCCCCTTCTGAGTGCAGTGGGTGGAGTGGCCTGCGGGGGAAAGTCCATCAGTGAGGTGACGTCACGGGCCAATGCTCCTATCAGGAAGAAGAGAGCATGGGAACTGCAGAAGGCTTACTACAGAGACCCCAGTCCCAGCCAGGAGATGCTGCCATGGGCTTCAGCCTCCTCTGCTGTGTGGCCTTTTGTCTCCTGGGAGCAGGTGAGTCCTGGGCATAGCTTGAAAGTCTCTGATCTCCGTTTCCTATCCCTGAAATGCACACGGGCCGATGACGGCTTTCTTCT